AGTTATGCAAATTATCAAAATTTATTAGCATTTCGTTGCACCAAAAATTTGTATTTATCACTTATCATCATTCATTTTGCTAACTTTAGCATTATTTTGCTAAAAGCAATTTTACCTATCATACAAGTGATAAGTTACATTTATTCAGTCTGAATTTATTTATTTATTTTTTGTAAAAGGATAATACAATTATACCTTAACAATCTAAAAATTAAGCTCTAACACGTGATTCGACAAAATATTGACACAATAAATGCTTCGAGAGGAGGAAAATCTGCAAGTAATAAAAGGCGTGTCATAAAAGAAAAAATCAGCTACAGTTTAGACTTTGATGTAGTAGAAAAATTTCGGCTATCTCGTAGCCAAATTGAAGAAATTTTATTAAAAATTGGAGCGGATCTACAATATAACAGTGGGTGTAATAATGGCTTAAGGCCGCTACAGCAATTATTATCGACTCTGCACTAATTAGGTAATGGTAATGGGTTCACAAATTAGCGGTATGTACAATAATCCATCGAGTGGCAAATGCCCTGATCAAGAAATTGATGGATGAAACTATTTGTTGGCGGGAATTTACGAAAAATATTGCCACACAATTTATCAACATTGGTGATGGAACTATGATTTGTTTACCGGTACGGAAATAATTTAATTAATGCAATGTTTTTGTTACTGAATTATTTTGGAAAGATCCAAATAAATAATCCTTAATTCAGAAAAATTTAGTTATTTATGTAAACAAATATAGTTAAGATGGACTTACTTTTTTCCTTAATAATTTTTAAGGCAGCCAATTTATTGGCTTTGCTTTGGCGCGCGACATAGTAAAAAAATGATAAATTGAAAATCTTTATCAAATCGCACATGGGTTTGCTAAGCTTTCGTTTTCCATTGAGAAACGGTAATCATTTTAGCTAAGCACATTATTGGAAAAGTTCTCTATTTGAAAAGCAAAAGAAATTGGCTGTTTATAATAAGTAAAAAGTGCAACACTTATCAACTTTACTTTTCAATAAAAAGGCTTATCCAAAAGTTTTAAAGTGATAAAAGATAAGTCGTTGGTGCAATTGGGCCCTGGTCACTATAACCTATAGTCCCCATACAACTGATTGTTCAGATTAGGTATGTGTGATATTCATCGATACTCGATGTTATAGATAATAAGACGTAAAATAGCGATGTTTTATAATCGATTGCGGACTATGTAGAACATCGACACGTCGATGATTCGAGATATTCACTGTTCATACATACATACATACATACGTATGTAGTTACAACTTTTGCATTTCAGGTGACGATATACCTGAACAAGGTACATTAAAAACAGGTAGAAGCCAATTTGACGTCAAACTTACAAACGTCAAAGCTTTCGGGAGAGTAAAAATTAGAATGAGCACACGAAATGAAAAATAAAAAATAACATTTCACTGGCTGACGTTTTTAAGTAAATTTGAAGTTTATTTTTATTTATTTATTTGTTTAATGTAAATTGGTTTATCGTTTACTAGATCGCTCTCATCCGCTTCGCTGCTACATTAGGTGTAATTTATTTTAATTAAACTCAACAAAATTAAATTTTGCGAAAATCAGGAGACTTAAAATTTTTTAAATGTCTTCAAATTATTTTTAAACTAAAACTATCTTAAATTTCTCTCTTGTGATACTTGTAAAGCCATTTAAAAATCGTTTCGATTGATACTCATACTGTAATAATTCATTGAAATGATTGCAAATTTTGAATTTTATTTCTTAAACCGTTAATTCATATAATATAAGTTGGATTTGAATTTTCAAACATGGACTCCACATGGACTGCTATATATATGTTGCTTAGAAATAAAGCCTTTTCAAGACTCTATCGATTAAAACCTAGATTGTATAACTCATTAAACTTATAATATAAATGAATTCGAATTTAGATTTAACACGGGTAAACTCGACTTTTAAAACAGGTGGCAACCCTTTTCGACATATTTTCCTACTAAAACCCTATTAAATCCCTCCTACCTGACGTCCATATTTTGATACATATTTCAATTATCAAATTCCTTTAGCTCAAGAAGAATTTGATTTTTCAAACAGGTGGTAACTCTCCTACATGTAGTTAAGAACTAAAACCCTTATCAAAAACCTTTCGATTGATGCCCATATTGTAGTAATTCATTTACATTAAATGAATTTAATTTTTAAACGGGTTGCAACGCTTGTAAAACGCCTCAGTAATATTTTAAAGGTTCACTCTGAAGGTTTCTTAGCAATCTTTCATTTAACACCCATATATTCATATTTCAGATAGCTTGCTAATAATTAATTTAAATTTGGATTTTCGAACAGGTGGCAACCCTTTTCAAAATACTTTCAAACTACATCATTTAAAGCCTCTTGCCATCCATTCTTTAATATAATTTTAAAATAAATAATTCCCTTAATTCAAGTCATATTTGATTTTTTAAACAGGTGGCAGCTCTTCTCCATGAGTATGGAACGGAGCTGTAAAACTGTGAATTCTGTTAACTTCAGCATTCTCAGTTTTTCATTCAGGTATTTATCACCTTGCTGTGTGAAATTAATTTTTTTTTGAATGATTGTAGATTGAAAAAATATAAGCCTCACTACCAGACAAAAGTAAAAAGAATGAAATCCTACTTGTAAATATTTCATTGGGCACGTTCAGAAGGCGCAACAGCTCAGTAACTGTTGCGATTGCACCTTTTGTACGCGTTGTTTTGCACTTCTGATCAACTGAACAGTTGCGTGTAGGGCGTACCGACAACATTGAGGGAACAGGTTAATTCTGCCTGGTCGTGGTCATCGATAGTCACAACCATCCATAGTATCGATACTATCGAAAATGTCGAGACTATCGATAGTTTTGATTAAAAAGTCGAAAAATTAAACATAACGACTTTTATTGAAAATGAGATCAGAATTGCTAAAATATGTCTATATTTTTGTTAATGTACAAAAGTTTATCAGCGATTTTTGTTTTCAAGCCGCTCTTAAATATGCATGTTACTGAATAATGTCGATGTTTTCGATAGTCAAAAACCATCGATACTATCGATAGTTTTCCAGCTCTAATAGTAATAGGTTGCGCTGAAGCGGAATCAAGAACATTTGAATACCGATAAGAGCAATAACGACTTATAAATTCTTTCAATATTATGAAAAATCAAAAGAAAGTATTTGGCTGACAAATATCACATATATTTGGTTTTAGTTAGCCAATTACTTCTCATTCCAACTGGCGAAACTAAAATCTTTTCAGATTGAAATAATTTTATCGGAATCGAAATTCAGAACAGGACTGATTGACGAATAACTGCGAAGATTACCAAAAAAAAACGTTTTTCGAAAAAGTTTCGTAAACGCTTCTTTGGAAAAAGCGGGTATTGTTTCCGTGTTCATCGAGCCAAAATTAGTTTGGAAAGCATTTTTTTCTAAGGTTAACGATTGATAAATATTCTTGTAAGTACAAAAACTTTTCGCGAAAATTTTTTAATGTAGGCAAAATTTGTTTAATAATTGGTTTGTGGTAACCATAAGCCAATAAACATAGTTGTGTCAAAATTCAAAATATTATTACTGTTTATTTTCTAATGGAAACAAAATAGAAATCTGGAGCTTGTTGTAGAAACTTGGTTTTCTCATGGCCTCAACTCGTGCATCATCTAGACGCTCTTTAAGCACAGACTCACGAATGCTTATCGGACTCGTTGCGGATTTGGTAACAAATTTACTACATGTGTATATGTTTATATGTACATATGTATTATTTAGTTTTCGATATTTTTGTATACAGGAAACGGTAATTGGGTTTCTACTAGCAGGCATTGGAGAGGCATCTGGTTCACATCAATTAGAAAAAAATTTCATGGTTGTTACGCATTACACGCCGATGCAAGATATTGAAATATTTTTTGCAAGTTTATGCACTCGAAAAAATATAGGAGTTATTTTCGTGGCAAGTGATTTAAAAATGATTCTGATCCAGGCTATATCCCGGGTGGCCAAAACAATGCCAATTATTTTGGAAATTCCTACAAAAAACACAATCGTGCAATCTATTGGGCTTAAGAAGCAAAATTTAAAAAGAATGGAAATAAAAAAATCGTATAAATAAATTATGATATTATTAGATGTTTCGTGTATTGGGAACGATTTGTGTTATCCCGTGAGCCCACGCCAAACCAATTCTTATCCATACTAAATTTGACAAAAGACGACGAAAATACACGGGATATAAAAAATAAAAACTATTTCAGTACAAAATTTTCAGTATAGAGTATAGTTTCACTAATGGCGCCATGAGTTTCATCGACCTTTTCGGCTATATCATTGCCAAATATGTTTGCAAACATTTCGTGAAAATACGATTAAAAATTAAGTACATGCTTTGCGATGAATTGAATTTATAGAAGCAAAAGTAGATATTGAAAAAAGATTTGCCGATTTGAAATTATTTAAATGTACGTTTGCATACTTCATAAACTCTTTTTTATGTAACATAATTGAGGATGAATTTACAATGGCTGCGTTTCTTTATACATTCCGGATAATCCCATTTCACAGCCGGAATAAACAGAATGCGTTTGAAATATACGTTAACATATCATCAGGAACATTCTAAAGAATATGTAAACACAAAAGTTTATTCCAAACGTTCAGAATGAATAAAGAAATGCAGCCAATATTCGAAATACTCCTTTTTAAGAAAAGCGAAGAAGAGTATAGTATATTTTTAGAACGAATGGAAAAGGATTGAGCCAAGAGCTTGTGTGAGAAAATCCAATTTTTGGCAGCCAATGTCAATTACGCGGTGTTGTTTTGCGTGAATGACGATACGCGGTTTTGTACTTTAAACGACGATCTGTATAAATTCGGGCCGCGGCCCAGAATAAGCACACCCCAAGCAATGGAACAGTACCTCGAAATGTGGTGATTTTTAGCTTTGATAACCAAAAATAACGAAGTGAAACGAAAATATTCCCAGATACATGTTATCATTAGTTAGACTCTTTTATTGCATTTTTAGTAAACACATATGTATGTTTGTTCTTTTTTGATTTTTTAAATTAGATAGATTAAGTAAGTATGTAGTATATAAGTGAATGTTTGTTGGTATACATATATGTATACATAAGTACGGCTATAATTACATATACCACAGCTGGGCAATTATGATTACGATTACATTTCAATTACGATTGCTGTAATAGTAATATTTAAAATATATATGATTACGATTATCTTAATTGCAATCATAAATTTCACCATTACTTGTATATTTAATAATTGTAATCATAAAAATTCGAGGAATACGATTATTGTAAATGAGCGAAATTTTCGCCAAAAATTATGTAAAATTGAGTTAAGGTCGAAGTAAAACTGTTAATCAAAATCAATGTTTATTGAAAACATTGCGACCCGGCGCAGGTACCAAATATCGTCAACTTTCAACTTTCTATAAACTACCTAAACCTACGTTATTGTAAGTATTAACTTGGAGTAAATAAGCGTCCTCAATTATTGAAATATCGAAACGGGAAGAGGGTGTAATTTAAGTCCGATTTGAATAATTTTTAAGTGCACGGAGTTTGGTAGAAAATGATAAATACGTAATTTGTGGTCATAAGTGGGCGGCGTCACGCCCAGGATGCAAAAACTAACAGTAATCTAATTGTATGCTAAGTGTTTGCTCAATAGTCGATTTCGAGTTAATTAGCTTCAGTAGTTACTGATTTATCGCAACTTTCGTGTTTCAGTAAATTACCGCTATATGGGTGGTGGGCGTGGTTATTGTCCGATTTCAAATATTTTCAACTGCTTTCATAGCTGGGCCCTAAGCACATGATTACGATTACAGTAATCGTAATGGTTAAATTTTATGAACTACACTTTAAGTATTTGCAATCAAGCATTTGATAATTACAGTAATCTCAATCCTAACTAAACAAAATGTAATCGTTATCCTAAGTGCCCAGCACTGCCTTATATCGAGAGACTTTTAGGAAATAAATAAAATAATGTAAATAATCTTCTAAAGGTTATGTTTATGTTGATTGGTGTTGTCCCCGCCATTTCTTCTTCTTGTTTCATTCTTGCTCTGATCTACTTTCTATTCTTCATCTTCCGCTTTATCTTCGGCATTTATTACCTCATCCAGCGAAGCTATATCACTCTCTGGGAGTCGTAAAGCATTAATTAATGCACTGGTGTCCTTTTGATCCTTGATCCCATCCGCTTGATCCTTAACGATATTGCTTGTTTCTGGGTTGGTCACCTATAAATAGCAAAATGAAAATATTTATAATTTAATTGGAGTATTCGTACGAACTGGAAAAGATCTCGGGAATCTCGAAATTATCGAATCTTTTATATACATATATGTATATGTTTGTATAAATGTAAGTATATGTTGGATACATTACAATTTTTGCAAGTATGGTTTAAGATACTCTACTTTAAATTTCACTAACCGCTGCTTTTTGATCCAGTTGTTCTAGTTCATGAAATGCCTCAGCCAAGCCTGGATGAATCTCGCTTAGCGGCTGATTACCTTCGCGAATATAGACCGGTATATGTCCAGGACGTGGCGGTAACTCTTGATAAGGAGCAGCATCTGGAAATAATAAAAAATTCATTTTTAATTCCTCCATTTAGCCTACGCTTCGCTGCACTGAATCTTAAATCTTAGGAAATGCTGTGTTGTTAAAAATTTTATCAGTTGTTCCAGGACTCCTGGGGCAACCCGGGCTTGTACAAATATTTTCCTTTTTTTAAAGGAGGATGGATCTACCTAAATGTCCAAATGTAAACTACAAACAATTTTTATACCCGAGCCCCCATAAATGATCTGAATGAAAAGAGAAGTCGACCACACCGGAACATCGAAATTTGTCGGAAATCAGAATTTTCCGAACAAAGACGAAAGTCTTTCAATATCACTTAACAAATTCGGAACGATTCCCCACCGAATTTTTCGGAAATCAGCCTTTTCTGAACAAAGTTGAAAGTCTTTCGTTCTGGCTAAACGAATTCGCAACTGTTTCGTAAAGAAGAAGAGGTAAACAAATTTCGAATGCATTGAAATGGAAAACGCAAAAGGAAGTAAAGTGAAATTAAAATAAAGTGAAATTAAAGTAAAACCCCTAAAAGACAAGCAGAAACATTTTTTAATTCTATTTTAAATTGAGAAATTGAAGATCGTACTGAAAACGTAAAAAAATATTAAGAAGCCATTAATCGTGGAAACCAAGTTATATTTTTTACGCAATTGGAGCCACAACTTCCGTCATCTATGGACTCCACTGCTGGAACTACCGAACAGCTGGCATGTGAACTTATGTTTTTAATAAAAGAGATACAGCGACAGTTAAGAAGTCTCAAAATTTAAATTTAATTGGCTATAAAATCGTATATACATATGTATCTGTAAAATCTTTCCATCGTTATTTGTTTAGATAATCAAAATTTGTTAGAAATGCTAGTTAATCAAAATAAGGAATAAATTTCGCCACTTAATCAGATTTTAGATTCATTGAAGAAAAAAAATCACAGAATTTGTTATTTTTTTTAAATTTTTGCACTGTTAAAGTTAAATTTTTTTAAATTTTTTAATAAAAAAAAAAACAAAAAATTTAAATTGCTTCGTAAGATGTACGTGATTAAGTGGAACCACTTTTTTGTAGCTGGATAACGGTAAATTGCAAATATGTATATCGAAAACTTATCCATAAAAAAACTTAACTCGATTTTCGAAATCAGCGAGAAATTCTTCATAGAAATTGCGTAGTGTGGCATTCGGTGTGCATTTGTGCTGTAAATCTGTGTAATTAATTCACGGTGGAGTTTTAAAAAAGTCATATAAATTTTCGTAAAAATTATAAAAGCCATATTACGATTCTTCTTCTTCTTGTTTGGCGCCGTAACCATCTAAGCGATTGTGGCCGAGTTCGACAAGGCACGCCAGTCGTTTCTCTTCTGTGCCAACTGACACCAATTTGAAACGCCAAGTGAAGCCAAGTCCTTCTCCACCTGATCTTTCCATCGCAGTGGGGGCCTCCCTCTTCCTCTGTTACCACCAGCGGGTTCCGAGTTGAATACTTTCAGAGCTGGAGTATCGGTGTCCATTCGAACGACATGACCAAGCCAGCGGAGCCGCTGTATTTTAATTCGCTGCATTATGTCCATGTCGTTGTAAAGCTCATACAGCTCATCGTTTGCGGTAATCGCCGTCACCAACGCGTAAAAGCCCGTAACTCTTCCGCAAAATCTTTCTCTCGAACACTCCAAAAGCCGCTTCATCATATGTTGTCATTGTCCATGCTTCTGCGCCATATATCAGCACGGGCGCGATGAGTTGCCTATTCAGTTCAAAGTAGCACTTATTGGCAAGAGTGATTCGGAGTTGGGTTTCCATGCTGACATTATTATCGGTGTTAATGCTGGTACCCAAGTAAACGAAATTCTGTACTTTCTCGGAATTATATCTGTCAACAGCGATGTGGGTGCCAAAGCGCGAATGTGCTGACTGTTTGTTTGATGACAGGAGGTATTTCGTCTTGTCCTGGTTTACCACCAGAACCATTCGCAGTGCTTTATTATTCAACTTGGAAAAGCCAGAACAGACTTCGCGGTCGATATCATCGGCATACACCAGCACTTGCACGCTCTTATAAAATATTGTTCCAGAGCGGTTAAGTTGTGAAGCTCTTATTATCTTCTCCAACATCAGTGGCCCTGTCTGAAACCCTGTTTGGTGGCGAACGGCTCGGATAGGTCTTTTGAAATTCTAACGGAGCTGGTGGTATTGCTCAACGTCATTTTACACAGCCGTATCAGTTTGACGGGGGTGCCAAATTCGAGACATAGAGGTATACAGGCAACTCCTTTTTGTGCTGTCGAAAGCGGCTTTAAAGCCGACAAACAGATGGTGGGTGTCGATCCTTTTCTCGCGGGTCTTTTCCAAGATTTGGCGTATTCTGAATACCTGATTTATGGTGGATTTGCCAGGACTAAAGCCACACATGTGAGGCCCAATCAGTTCGTTGACGGTGGGCTTCAGTATTTCACTCAATCTATATATATAAATGTGAATGTCTGTTTGTTTATTACTTTATAACTTTTAATGTTAAAAATCACCGGCTCCCGCCTGAAAGGATCGTTTTGACCCATATTTTAAGAAACTCCGCAAAAAGCAAATTTGGAAGGTCGTTAGAGGATTGCCACAAACATAAAAGTCTCTCGTATTTGTCAATGTTATTGTGGCTTGTTAACATTTTATTTTTTTAATATTTTTATTGAGCTTTGTACCACGATTGTTTATTAGGAAAAATTGAAAAAATGAATGAATGAAATGAATTAGCAACAAGAGTTTACGGGATGTACATAGCTCAGTGGT